TGAATAAGCACGCAGATATTCAGCTAAGTTCCTATGGAGTCTCTCAATCGAGCCAAGGCTTATGGCGTGATTAGCCGAAGATTGAGCTTTATCTATATTTAGCAACTTGCATACTTGAGCAAAAGTTTTTGATAAGAAATCCGTTCCTTGATCGGTTAAAATTCGTTCTGGGAGTCCATGTAAACACACAAAATGTATTACAAGTGCTTCTGCGACCGTATTAGCTTTGTGGTCGGGTAGGGGAATTGCCAAGGCAAATTTAGTAAGGTCGTCTTTGATCGATAAAAGATAATTGTTTCCTAAGTCAGTGGTTCGCATAGGACCGACTATATCTAATTGAATGGTCTGGAAAGCTCGTGAACTTGTACTAGTAATAGCGAGAGGTTGTTTAACGTGGTGGTTCGATATTTTGTTGCGCTGGCAAGAATCGCATTTTTTAATATACTCTTTTACTTCCCTTTTAAGCCCCTTCCAGCTAAAATAGTGCTTTATTTTCTTAATTGTCTGATGTACACCTAAATGGCCACCAGCGAGCTTTGAATCATGATATTGCGCAAAAATAGTACGTTTTTCTTCCGGTGTAAACTCTACGCGTGAACAAATAATAATTTTTATGTCGGTATCACGGAAAACATACCGTATCATTGACCTCACGTGTGACCAGTCCACGTCGTCATCATGTCCTAATTTATTCATGGCTAGTTTGTTTAAGTTGTTTTCTTCACAGAACTGCCGTAATGCTACTAACGTTAAAAACAGGTTTTCACACGTCGTTACCTGCTGATCGCGTGTTTTCGTTATTAAGAATATAATGTATCGGTCGTTATTTTTTATGAAAGTCGTTTCTCCAATATCACCGGCCTGTACGTTTTGGTCGGCTCCGAATTTCTGTTTTAACTGGTAGTTAATACCGGTTCTAAAATTAAATTGCTTCGCGATCTCTGATACTATGTGATATTCGTCGGGTGCGTCTATTAATTCCCCCGTTACCTCGGATACATTTTTATTAGTAATCAACTGTGTTTCAAATTTTTCAAGGAAAACTGGGTACGTTAAGTCTTTAACTTCCGTAATGCTGTATACTCGGCTTAGCGCGTCTACGTTTGAATTTTGTACTCCCGGCTTATAACGTATTTCATAATCGTATTCTTCTAATAATATTCGCCAACGGGCTAACTTTGATAAAGGGTCTTTTAAGTTAAAGAGCCACTGCAAAGCTCTGTGATCTGAATATATTGTGAACTTTCGTCCATAGAGATAAGGCCTAAACGTTTTTACCCCAAATACTATTGCTAAACATTCGAGTTCGGTTGTTGAGTAATTACTCTCACTTTTATTCAAAGTCCTAGAGGCATATGCTATAGGCTTTTCTTCTTTAGGCTCCCCTGTGACAATATAGCTGCCAATCCCTTTAAACTAGCATCCGTAGTTAATATAAATGGCCTAGTAAAATCTGGGTATTGCAAAACGGGTTCTGAACATAGCGCGTTTTTTAATGTATCAAATGCCTCCTGACAACTTTCTGTCCATACAAATTTTACCCCTTTTCTTAATAGATTAGTTAATGGTTTTGCAATGCTACTATATTTATCAATAAATTTTCTATAGAAACCTGAGAGACCTAAAAAGCTCTTAATTTCTTTTGGCGTTCTGGGGACAGGAAAATTTAGAACCGCTTGGACCTTCGATTGGTCCGGACGAATACCATCAGCTGAAATAACATGCCCGAGGAATACACATTCCCTTTGAATAAAATGGCATTTATCTGGCTGAATCTTTAAATTATGCTGTCTTAACCGATCGAAAACGTCACGTAGCTTAGAGTTATGCTCGGCGAGTGTACTCGAATACACTATAATATCATCCATGTACAATAGTGCCTTAAGTCCTATTAGCCCTGATAGTACTGTAGCCATAAGACGTGAAAAGGTCAAAGGGCTTCCTTTAAGCCCCATAACTGCACGATTGAAAACCATGTGTCTCGCTCCGTGTCTGGAGTTCATTACGGTGAATCCAGTGAGTTCCCGTGACGCTTCTGATAAGGGAATTTGATAAAATCCCGAGGCTAAATCTAGGACGCTAAAAATCTGACTTCGGCCTAATTGGTCAAGTATCTCGGTGATATTAGGTATCGGATAAAATTCATCTAACGTAACAGCATTTAACCCCCGAAAATCAACTACTATACGGTACTTTTGAATCCCACTAGCGTCTAACTTTTTCTTTACTAACAACAGTGGTGAATTCCAAGGAGAGAAGCTTTCCTGTATTATCTCGTCCTGTTCCATTTGCGATACCTGTCTACTTATTTCTTCTTGCTGCGCGAAAGGCAATCTATACGGTCTTAGGTACACGGGCTTTTGATCTGGTTTTATTCTAATTTCGTGTTCTATTGTATTAGTACAAGTTAATTTATCTCCCTCTAAATGAAATATATCTGCATAATCCCCACATATTCCTAAAATAGTTTCTTTTTCCTCCGCGTTCATATGATCGCTTCTAATTAATGTTTTAATCTTATTGATTCTATCTTCTTCGATATTTTCTACATTAATATTGTAAATACTATAACTGGTTTGTCCTTCATAAGTTATTTTACTTAAATCGTGTTTACTTAAACATGTCTCGGTTTCCCCGATATTTAATAGTCCTACTATAAACCCACCATCCTTGACAAGAGAAATCGCGCTGCTACAATATACGTCCCTAACCAGTTCTTGCTTATTTATTAATATCTCCTGCCCGTCCAAATCAGCTATTGGTACTGTTATGACCGTCTCTGACCTCGGCTGCAATATTATACAGTCGCTATTATTCTTGGCTACTTGCCTACTTTTTGTATCGGTTAGTTTCGCGCTACCGACATTGTTTATTATCCTGACATCTAAATGAAACTTATTACAGATGCTTTTTACTAATTTATTTCCATTACTATCATTATGAGCCCCGTCTGTATCGACTAAATCCGTGTTCTGTGACCCAATACATTCCAGTGTCGTGTTTTCTACATTTATATCCCCTGCGTCATTCGCATTTAAATCTATTTTACTACATTTGTCATTTATTTCATCATAACTAATATTTATATCTTTTTCATTCTTACCCAAAGCAAAATGTTCAATATTATTCGCCGCTTGATGCGAACATGATACACCCTGGCGTAATCCATTATCATTATAATTATTTTCAATTTTTCCTGCTAAGGGGAATTCAACTATATCCTCACTTAATCTATTCCTACTGGCTATATTCCCATCAACTACATTTTCATTAATTATACTCCCATTGACTATACACTCGTCAATTATTTGTTCCCCGTTAACCATTAAAATACTCTTGGTATCTGTTTTACCTAACATATTTTCCCCAATTACATTACTATCCATATTCAAATTTTCTTCATTTAATATTTCATTATTCCCAACTATACCTAATTCTTTTTCATTTTCTAAAATATCATTTTTCCCACTTGGCTTTCCATTTTCGCCTAAAACATCCTCATCATTATCATTTATCAAAAGAACATTATTACCCATATCTATCACCGTGTGATTTTCAGTAAGGAATTTTTCCCCCAAAATACCATCTTCCTGTATTATACAATTGTTACCTACTAAATTAAATTCTGTATATATTTCTTTATTATTAATTATTATCGGAATAACTATAGTACCATACGTTGGTATAATTTTCTCATGAATTCCCTTAAGATAAACCCTTTTTAATTCGTTAACCATAATATCATCTTTTACTGTGCTAATTTTTAAAATATTAATCTGAGAGCCAGTATCGACTAGCAACTGAAAATTATCGTTTTTGCTAGCGTTACTATTACAAAAAATATGCTTATTTATCATTGTCGTTCGGGTGATTCTGAAACAGTCTGAGATTCCACGGCTATTTGCCTCACGACGCGCGTCCCGTGACTCGCGGTCGGTTCCTGAAAATTTTCTGCTTTAATCGCGACGTTCCCCATATTTGCACGTTTCGCGTCATTTTCCCTTTTATAGCAAACAGACTCCCCGTGCCCGATTTTGCCACAATAATTACAGACAATAGGACCCGCATTATTCGAATTAAAATTTCCCGTTTGATAATTGGTATTTTGCCTATTTTGCTGAGGTGGAGGTCTATTATTACTATTGCCATTGTTAGTGTTTAATCTACAATTATATGATAAATGACCTATTTGGTTGCAAATCCTACAACGTCTATTATCTTCATTAGGACGATTACCATTAAAATTGTTACCCCGATTATTATTGCCATTATTCCTTGGTGACTGAAAACCTCTATTCCCGTTGTTATTTTGACCCGTATTAAAATTATTCCCTGCGTTTTGCGATTTAAACATATCCTGTACCCCTCTATAAGTGATCAAGTCCTTTTCAGCTAGGACTGCGGTTTGCATAGCACTATCAAGTGTAAGAGGATTTTTAGTTTTAACTTCAAATTTAAGTTGTTCATTTAACCCATTAATATAACTAACCAGAGCCTGTGTTTTTACATTTTCATTTATAATTTTCGCGTCTTCTTTTGATTTTCCCGCAGCTAAAGCATTACATAATTTTTGATAAACTTCATCTACCCGTTCATTATAACTATTAACTGTTTCATTTTTGTTCATTCTTATTATATTTAATTGAATTTGTAAATTAGCCGCTGCAAAAGGTGTTTCAAACGCGTCAAGCAAAGATTTTTTCAACTCCTCCCATGATGCTAAAGTTTTATATTTAGTACAATTAAATGCACGGCCCGTAAGCTTGGTGCTTATAACCATTTTTAACAAAAGCGGTATTTGATCGGCACTAACTGAATTAATTATTGCCTCACATGCATTTAAAAATTGATAAATATCCGTTTCACCGGAGTATTTAGGAGTTAAATGTAACGCGTCCGTTAAACTTAAAGTGGGAGTTGTAGACATCGTTGCTTGATTAGTTTCTACTTCTGGTGTATTAGCCGTAGTTGCTGTGTCAATTTCTTTTGCCCTAGATTTTGTTTTCCTAACCGTTTGTAGTTCAACATGCACTACACCTAGTGTACTCCTAGTTAATCGCCTATCTGCTTCCCTAAGTGTTGTGTTCAAAAGGTCTATCGGGTCGGTTTCAGATTCCTGATCAATAATAATAGAACTACTGTTACTGTCGTCTAAATTAATTAAATCAATTTCATTAGATTCTAACGTAACCTCAGATAAATCTAATTCTTTCTTAATGTGAGAAGTGTCTAACTGCTTATTATTACTCATACAATCAACTTAATTAACTTATTTATATCCTTATATTATAGATTACTCACAACAGAGCGTTCATTTTGAGTCGTCTGGTCGTGTCAAAGAGCGTCGAAGAGCAAGAAGGCTGGAATTTCTTCAATTGGTCTTCCGTGTGATGTTGCAATCAGTCCCGCCTTTGACAATCGTACCGTATCTGCGCCAGTGTAAAGTTCCAGCAGTCTGTGGCCTTTGGATACTTTAACACACAAGTGGTTGAAGAAGGAAGATGGATGTTTCGTAAATAAAGTTAATACTTTTAATTAAAATAGGTAATATATGTATTCCAATATAAGCATTTAAGTTGATACACAGATAATAAAGTAAGTGCTTGTTGCAGGTATGTAATAATACGCGGCCAAGAACACTTCTGAGGGTGCTGTGGTGAAACGGCTGGTATTTACGCAAAATGTCCATCCGGTTCGGTGGAAGGAGTTCTTCGAATCCCCGCCTCGGTGACCTTTTCTCAGTTGTGCAAGCGTTAATCCGGGTTGTTGGTGAATGGCCAAGTTGTCTTCTGCTAAGTGCCTAACATTGTCGGATAGATACAATTTATGTGTTTGTTTGTGCGTTTTTACAATCTTTCAGTTGTACAAAATATATAATTTGCATAAATAAATTGGCTTTTACAATTTATAATTTGGATTTTACAATTTATGACGTTGTTTTTACATTTTGGTTATATACAAAGTATAGAATAACTCCTTTCGGTCGTACACATATTAGTATTCAAGGAGAAATCGGTCATGACGTAAACATGGCTGGACTTGGTAACCCATTACAATATAAACAATAACATGTAATATTTCGGATTATTTTTACTGAATTGAACGACAATGTCTAATGAAATATTACACGGAGTATTATTATAATTATAATTATATCGTTTAATATTATTATGTTGAACAGTATAACTAATCTATGACTATAGATGGTTTATTATCTTAAATACATTTATTGGCGACCATCTCAATAGTATTCTATTTGGGTTCCGGAAGACGACCAACGTTCATGGCTGTTTTAAAGCCATTGTATAATAATTTCCATTCTCCGCCTAAAAATTACCAATATAACATTAACTAAATATATTTTTTTTTTTTTTTTTTATTTATTTATTAAGAGTATTTACAATCTATGCTGCAAGGCATAATAAGCAAATAGTTACATTGTTATATATACAGAGAGAGGGAAAAAAAAATAAACAAATAGAAACGGTGATTTGATATGAGGAGGGAGGCTATCCACTAATAGAACCCAACGTGATTTTTGTTCTAATTATTTTTAATTAGATTAATTTGAATTATTGTATTAACAGATCTCGACACCAATGTCTTCGGAGTCGGCGAGGTGGATTTCCGGGGAGTGAATTAGAAGCAAGTTGAGATATTAAAGGGTTAGAATGAGTGTGTAATTTGGAATGAAATTTTTTGTAGTGTTTTATGGCTAAATGGTTTATTGGTTCTATTTTAAAGTCATTTTGAAGTGTGCAGTTTGATACATACCATGGGGCAGAAGAGATAATACGTAGAGTGATAGATTGGAAAGCTTGTAAGGTACGAAGTTGGGATGGTTTTGCACATCCCCAAATTTGGATTGCATATGCCCAAATAGGCCTTAATAGGGATTTGTATATAATAATTTTAGTGTGGAAAGGTAATTTTGATTTGAGGATTGGACGTAGTAAATGGAGTCTGCTGTTCAGAATTTTTCTTTTAGATTAATGTGGGAGCCCAAAGTTAATCGTTTGTCGAGTGTGACACCAAGATATTTGACTTCCGAGGATATTGGAATAAGTATTCCTTGGAATTGGGGAGGGGGTGGAACAGATTTTTTTAGTGTTAAGGGAACGTACACAGATTTATCTGGATTAATTTTAATTCTCCAATTAGATGACCAGGAATCAATTAGATTTAAGTGAGTTTGAAGGAAATTGGAAGTAACTTCTGGATCATTTCCTGGGGAGAGTATTGCAGTGTCATCTGCATAAGTAGCCATAATAGTATTTGGTGTTTTTGGAATGTCAGCCGTAAAAACATTAAATAGATCAGGGGAGAGGTCACTGCCCTGGGGCACTCCTGCTTTAATTTGGTGGTATGGTGAAAAGGAATTACCATATCTGACTCTATAACTTCTATTTTCTAAATAAGAACGAATTATTAAGTAATATGGGGCAGGTAGAAACAATTTGAGTTTGAAGAGTAGGCCTTCATGCCATACACGGTCAAAGGCCTGGGCCACATCCAAAAATACCCCCGGACAATATTGTTTTTTTTTCAAAGGAAGAACAAATTTGATCTGTTAGTCTGTAAATTTGGTGAACAGTCGAGTGATTGGATCTAAAGCCAAATTGGGAATTAGGAATTATGTTGTGGGCATGTAATATTGGTCTTATCCTTATGAGTATAATTTTCTCAAACAATTTGGCGAGAGTTGGGAGTAAGCTGATAGGTCTATAGGAAGTAATCTCATTTTTTGATTTGTTGGGTTTGGGGATAACAATTATTGTGGATATTTTCCATATTAATGGAAAATAAGAAATTCGCAGCATGGAATTAAAAATATAAGTTATTAGAACAATTGTTTTTTTTGGCAAATTTTTGAGGATTTTGTTAGTTATGAGGTCATGTCCTGGTGATTTCCCTTCTTTTAATTTATTTATTAAAAATTTGATTTCACTTGGTGAGGTATGTTTTGCAGGTAATGACATTGGAAGAGGACTATTGACAAAAATATTAACCTTTTCTAAGTGTTCGTGGTTGGGAAATACGTCAGTATGTGGTTTGAAAATGTTGGAAAAATGCTCTCCGAAAAGGTTGGCTTTTTCTTTGTCAGAGATGGCCAAGGATCCATTTGGGCCAGTTATAGGTGGAAGTTGTTGTTTTATGTTAAGTAAGCTTTTGGTAGTTTTCCAAAGTGAGCCATCTTTTGAGTTTAAAGACTGGTATTTTCTTTCGAAGTACTCAGTTTTGTGTTTTATTATTAATTTTTTAATAGTGTTCGTTAAGTGATTAAATATTTGTTTGTCGGAAGGATATCGATATTTCTGCCATCTGGAGCGTGCACGTCTTTTATCGGAAATCAACGTTTTAATATATAAAGGCAAAGTATGATTATTTGATTGATGTTTACTGGTTGGATATGACGCATTGTGGACGGCAGATTGTACAGAAGTTACGAGGTCTTGGGCAGCGTTTTCTATATCTATTTTTGATTTAAGGGAGATATTTAGATTAGTAGTGTTTTGCATAATTTCAGAGAATTCTTTCCAATTTACTGGGCTTTGTGATAAAGAAGGATGTATAAGATTAAGTTCTGGACTTTCATTTAATTTTAGAAGGACAGGAGTGTGGTCTGAGCTAAGGTCATTTAGGTTATTAATAGAGAATTTCATAGTTCTAGGTAGTGTTGAAAGAAAGAAATCTAATATATCAGGGTGTCTATTTTCGTGTTGGGGCCAGTAGGTAGGACCATTTGGCGATATGGATGTGTAATTGTTGTTGTTAATGATTTTTTGGAGTATTTTTCCTCTTGAGTTGTCGGATATGCAACCCCATTGGGAGTGTTTGGCATTAAAATCGCCCCCAGCCAAGAAGTTTGGCCCTAGGGATTTTAAAAAATCTTTTAGTTGTGTCGAAGTAATAGCAGGATGAGGGGGAAGGTAAACTGAAGATATTTTGATCGGTGTGTGATTTAATGTTATTTGGATATTAGTTGCCTGTATAGTAGGGGTTTGGTTAATAGGGAGTAACTGATGCTGGATTTTAGAGGAAATAATAATAGCAGATCCTGCATGAGCAGTATTGTCGGGATGATCAGCTCTATAAACCTTAAAACCAGGGAAAAATAGTTTAGTGTTTGGTTTACAGTGGGTTTCAGAAGTAAGTGCCAGATCGATTTGTTTTTCTGATAGTAAATTTAGCAGTTCAGAATCATGTTGTTTTAAACCGTTAGCATTCCAAAGCAATATCTTTAGTACGTTTATATTTGGTTGATTACTGACCATCTTTCATAAGTTTATTTATAACTGTTGTGAGTAGTGATATGAGAGGGTTAATTATTAATTTAAATTCAGAAATGAAGGAGGAAAGTTGAGTTGCTATATTAAACTCAGGTGGATTAATAGTTGCGTTTGGGGGTGTATTATTTGGAGCATTGGAATGGAGATGTTGGTGGGTTAGGTTTGGAAAAGATGAGGTATTTTTAATATCAGGAGGATCCTGACGAGTTCTATAACCGGAGTCGTCCCCCCCTTTAACAATATTACTGTAATTTACATCTTTTATTGAATTATATTTTCTATTTGGAATTTTTTTACCATAGTGTAGTTTTTGAAGATCCTTGTGGATTTGGCATCCTCGGTAATTTGCGGTATGATTTCCTCCACAGAGAACACAAACTGGTGGCTGATCTTTGGTTTTCGTACAGGAAGAAGTTGGGTGGTAAGCGGCACAACGAACACATCTTGGAGGGTGTGCGCAGTATGATTTAGAATGACCATATTCTTGACAATTTGTACATTGTATAACAGTGCGTCTTTTATATGGTTCCTCGATCCTTATTTTGGTATTTAGTAAGGAGTTAATATGAAAGACGTCCTTGTTGATTTCAGCGGGTTCCAAATCAATGAAAAATATTGGGAGTTTATTTTTTGTAGTTTTGTTTAAAACATTGGAGACATTTCGGACTGTATATCCCCCAATTTCTTCAAGCGCTGAGCCTATTTCGGATGTTGGAGTGGAAGGGTGGAGATTACGAATGACTATTCGGAAGGGTTTGTCTTCTTGAGCTTGGTAGGTATGAAACTCAGCCTTATTTTCTTTTAGATATTTGATGACTGATCTATATGAGTCGGAGTTGGTAGTTTGGACTTTTAAGTTCTTGGTAGTTGCTTTAACAACAAAATTATTGGCGCCGATTAATCGATTAAACATGTTCGAAGTGTGTGAAAATCTAATACTCCACGGATGAAAATAGGTGGAGGAGGTTTGATTTTTGTTTGTTCAATTTCCTCATTTAGGTCGTTGCCCAACTGATCTATTTCGATATTTTCGTCTTCAGCATTATCGATGTCAAGTGGAGCAAATCTATTAGAGGAAGCAAAAACAGTTATGTGTATTTTATTTTTCCCTGCTAATGATTCAGTTGATATCGGTTTAGATTTGTATTTAACCGTTTGAAATTCAGAGTCGTTTTTTGTTGATTTGTTTTGATTTTTTTGATGTTTATTATTATTGGGTGATAGGCCCGGAGAGCCGAGTCGCTTAGTGCTATTAGGAGTAATAAGTCCATCAGTATGATCGGATAGATCTGAAGAAAGCGAAAGTCGATTTGGCACGCTCTGTATACGTGACGCTTTTATTGTTAACGGAGGTACTGTTTTGTTATTTTCGTTCATGGCGACAGGTAAATTTATCGCGCGATAGCAATAACTGGTTTAAGCTGACCGTCCGAGCGCGGCCGCGATGGCAGTATTAGCTATTAATAATATATTAATTAAATAAATTACCAAAAAGACAATGATGAGGCTCAGAGGTGATGTAGAAATGAGATGTTCAACTCGTTGGAAAGCAGGCACTTTTTCAAAAAGATTACTTTTTAATATGAGAAAAACGGTGAAAA